TTCTATTATTTACAAACTTTCCTTTGTTAGAATTTCACTCTAATTGATAATATTATAGTTGTCATACTAGACTTGATATTCGACTTGGTTTAGAGATCAAGTCATTGGATTACCATTTTATTTCTTATTTATAATTAATGATGTTGTTTTGGTTTTTTATTTTTAATACAATCTTTAGTGTTGACTAAATCATTTGTAATCGGATTAATTATATTATAGATAAATATGTCCAGTTATTTCTAGTTTTTTCAAGTTAATATTAAAACTAATTTGAATTAAAACTTGACACAAGTCAAGCTTCCACTCATGAATTTATTGAGTTAATCCATTAAATTAGGCTTAATTGGATTGCATGACTATAGTCAATATAACATGTTAACATTTTTTAACCAAATTAATTTCCCCTAAAATATAACATTTTTAATCCTTTGTCTTGTCTTTTCAGTTTTTATAAATTTGAATTTATATGATACTTTTTTAATTCTAGTGATTAGAACATAAGATTTCCATGTGGAGGTTACAGGTTAAATTTCTTGAACAAGTGAGATGGAATTAAGAAAGGGAGAGGCTACCACTCATTGTGTAGCTTATATTAATTTAGAAAGCCTCATGTATCTAATAAAGATTCTATACTCTAATTCACTTGACATCATAAAAGGATGGAATGAAAGTGAGAAAAATGTAAGAAAAACTATCTCATATTTACTAAATATATATAACAATAAAAGTTTAGTTGGTATAAGTTCTTGGTAGAAGATATATACGTTATAATATTTTCTAGGGTTGATATAAGTCGAAGAAGAGAAGTTTCTTGGTTTTGTTTTTTGTTTTCTTGGAAAATAATTTTTTTCCCGTAAAAATTAAATAAAAAACAGTTAGTTTACACTACTGTACCTGGACAAAGACATTTAAATTCAAAATAATAACTCCATTCAGCTTAGGGCCTGGATCATTGAGGTTTTCATTGGTTAACCCAGAGATCATTAATAAAATCTAATTTTCTGATTTTATCCACATTTCTGACAAAGGGCTGAGCTATTTATGAAAAATTCAATTGTGCAATAGCAGCTCGCTGTAGAACAGTACAAATACTAATTTATTGAACACTATAGCTTCTTGATCTTAACAGTTATACGGTTTGTCTTCACAGATGGCGTTTAGCTTTGGTGCCAAAATTCTGCTTAGTTACAGCGAATCAAAGTCATCAAAGAACCTGAGACAAGCGTATGCCGATTTCCAACATGGCTTAATTTCATTTCCCTTGAACATTCCTGGAACTGCTTATTGGAAATGTTTACAGGTCTAGTCTGCACCATCTCAAACATCTATATTTAGTCTAACAATAATGATGATGATTCCGTAGACAATATTGCTTAATCATTTTAGAAAAAAATCATTTTAGGGACGCAAGAAAGCGGTAGAGATTATAAAAAGTATTTTGGAGGAAAGGTGCGCAACCCCAAGGAAGAGGCAGGAGAAAGACTTCCTTGATCTTGTGATAGAGGAAATTAAGAAAAATGGGAGTTTGATGACTGAGGCAATGGCTTTGGATTTGCTATTTGTACTTGTTTTTGCTGCCTTTGAAACTACTTCAATTACTCTGACATTAGCTGTTAAAAATGTTTGTGAACATCCTAAAGTGCTGGAAGAATTGATTGTAAGTAATTAAGCATTTTCACGCCCTGTTAATTGTGTTCATTATTTTTCTCTGTTAATTGTGTTCATTATTTTTCTGTTAACTTATACTTCAGACACATGTTTTTGCTATCAGAAAGAACATGAAGCGATTCTGAGGAACAGAAAAAATATTGAATCTGGAATCACTTGGCAAGAATACAAATCAATGAATTTCACACATGCGGTAAGACCAACAATCTTAGCAGATAACAAAGAGAACATCTCATCTTGCTTGATGTTCTAGCTAGTGGCTTCAATTAATTGCATGTTTTTGTTGAAGGTTATCCATGAAACAGTAAGGCTAGCAAATATTGTCCCAGGAATTTTTAGGAAGGTGCTCAAAGATGTTGACATAAAAGGTATGTTTCTACTTCCAAGAACTAAATTCATGTTTTAGATTTCACTTATCTTTATTCCTAGCCTTGGAAATTAACTAATAATTTTTATCTCTCATTATATTCAGGATATACTATTCCAGCAGGTTGGATTGTTATGGTCTGTCCACCGGCTGTTCATATGAATCCGAAGCAATACGATGATCCTTTCACCTTCAATCCATGGCGATGGCAGGTAAGTTTTTCCACGAAAGTTTTATAAATCAGAAATTGTTCAGAATAGTTCTAAACTTTACAGAAATTACCTATTCAATTTCTTGTGATAATATGACTCTATTAATCCACTAATTACTAAATCCCATAAAAAATAAATTAAAATAAGAAAAGGGGTGTAAAGTGAGCCCTTTCTGAATTTGAATGTATTTGTCCATGAAACGATAGGGGCAAGTACTACATGCAGGATCGCAAAAATTTATGGGTTTCGGAGGCGGTTCAAGACTCTGTGCTGGCGCCGAATTTTCTAAAATGCAAATGGCCATTTTCCTTCACCATTTGGTCACAAAATACAGGTACATAGTAAATAAACGAAAAAATGTTTCTAGTTGATTGGTTGATTATGTTCTTTATATATTTAAATTTATTTCTTGTTTTTTATTTCCTATTCATTTTAAATATTATTTTTTTTCTATATCAGCTAATTGACATGGTCAAATTATCTACTAATTTTAGGTGGAGAGTGATCAAGGGAGGAGATATCATCAGAATTCCAGCTGTTATCTTTCCAAATGGTTTCCACATTCAAATCTTGGAGAAGAATATCCAAAAGGATGCCACAACAACTGAATCAAGGGAAACAGTGTGAAGTTTTTCTTCTGATTATCTGCCTGCGTCGGTTCCGTCAGATGGATTTGCCTAATTTCTATTGTGCTACTATATTTGTTGCCCTCGTTAATTATCTAGATATCATGTTGATGTCTATCAATTACCCATCGATGTATTGATATGTACTCTGTGGATAACTCCAGAAATTCCACAATGAATTGTTAATCTCGCCCTACAGTGAGTCGCTATTTGCAAACCTTTTCATATGAGTTGGCGAAGCTTTTCTATTTTGAAAGACAAGTTACCATTTATCATCACTATAACAGGTTAGTATTTTCACAAATGGTGATATCCTCATAGCTACTAGTGAATTGATATCCAACTTACTAACAGTAGTGACAAGTAATGTTAGGGGGAAAAAACTAGTTACGTTTAAGCTAGTGGTCCTTCTAAAAAAAAATAAGTTCCTTATCAGAAAATTAACCCTCTTATGTTTAAATTAGAAAATATAGAAAGAGTGAATTATGTGCGAAGCAAATCAGTACGTAAGGGTAAAGACTTTTTAATTTGTGTATACGTATGAAGTCTAGTTCTTAGAACGTATAGCTTAGAACTTCAATCGTTATGAACAGGACTACCCTTCTTATATGTTAATTTGCTATATTTATATATGTGGTTATTGAACTTACCTTTTAAAAAGAAAATATGTTTTTAGAAAATTGATCTGTACATATCTCCATTTATTTGATAAAAATTAAGCATAAAATAATATGGATCTATACAAATTTCAAGCTTAAAGAACTTTAACTTAAGAGGATGTATTATAAAATAATATAAATTATATTCTACAATGCTATTGGGCTGAGATAATCTTTTTGAGATTTCACTTAAAGAAATATATTAAAAAATAATATAAATTATATCTTACAATGCTATTGCTAAGAAAGATAGCAGGCATTAATACTGCTAGAAAATAACCATTGGATTTAAAAAAGTTATGTAGAAAACTTTTATGACATTTGAGTTAAATTATGTCTAAATAGGCGTACGATGAATGACTATGATAAGTAACATGTGTAGGAATTGAAGGAAACCCTTGGTTTCATATAAGTAAGGTTCGACCAAATTAGCCATTAAATAGGCAAGATAAATTGACAAAACACGCATGAAATTATTATAGAAATATGTTTTGAATCTAACTACGTTGAGGTGACATCGAATTATGTAGAAAATCTAATTAGTTATTCAATGGAATAAAAGCTAATGATACTAGATGGATTAATATTGGCATACCCTTGATTAGCCATACTAAAGGTAATGGCTAGTGATATCATCAAATAGAATAAGAAGATTTGACTTATCATCATAAAATAAAGCAAAGAGAACTTAGTTATATGTTAATTAATGTAAAGTTGATAGTTATAATATTGCATTTACTTATATTTGACTATTGTATTTTTGTGGACCATCATATACATATATCAGTAGTAGATTTGTCTTATCACTTTTGTTTATATAGAGTAGGTATAATAAGTTAACATTGGAATGTAATGTCTTTTATTTTTAAGCATATAAACATTAATACGTCAATGCTTAATGTTTGTTGTAGATATATGAATTTATTTCTCTTAATATTTATCTATTTTTTATTTATATATGCTAGATTTTATATAAACTCTCATACTTCATAATTAATGTATTATATAATTAATTATGTCTTACTAGATGAGTTGAAATTACTAGAATATGATTAATGTGAATCATGATCCAAGATGACTGGATCATATAATCGTGTTTGTATGTGGAAATATAATAGGTTAATTCAATAACTTTGCATATTTTATTACAAAAGAAATTCTATCAGAATTTTAATAGAGATTGAAGTATAATACTTAATAATATTAAAAGATTATTGTACATGCTAAAAGGAAAATATGTATATATATAATTCCCTTTAATCCTGTATTTATGCATGTCTTTTGTTTTGGAAATTGGAGTTGTTACAAATTGGATTCATTGCTAAATCTATTGACTAGGGGAAAATGTTCATTATTTGGAAGAAAAAAGTGCTATTTATGCACTACTAGAGAAGAAAAACAACATGTATTGTCTTCTAATTATTGTTTGGGGTCTAAACGGATAGAGTGGCTAGTCCTTTAAGCTAGCTCACATGGATAGATTTTTTTTTAACTTTCTTATACCATTATTTATCCCCAAATCTTTTAAATAATCATGTTTGGAAGACTTACCTAGCAAAAATAAAGGAAAAGACAATACTTACAGTAATAATATTACCATTTACACTTTAGTTAATGTGTATGAATGAGAGTTCTTTTTAACTTTTATTAGCAATTCTACAACAGAAAGGTAAGTTTAATAAGTTTTACATGTTTTGTCTGGAGTAGAAGACCTTATTAAAAAAAAATAGATAATGCTTAATGATAATTTTAAAGTATTGCGCAAAGAGGTGTTGTATAAAGATAGAGAATTCAATTGAAACCTTGCCATATATAGTTTTATTGGAGATATTGAAAACATGTTTGTTTGGAGACTTAAAGATTTTAATGAAAATATAAAAATCTCATTTTAGAGATTTTTTATTGAAGACATGAAGATATATATGGGGACATAGAGGATTTGATAGAAACATAAAGATCTCATCTTAGAGATTTTTGTTGGAGACTTGAAAAAAAAAATAAAAGATAATGGAGATATAATTTTAAAAAATTATGTGATATCAAGTTGCATATTATAAAGATTTTTTCATGTGTATTCAAGCTATCTCTCATTTTTCTTAAATTATTGGAGATGTCCTTTATATATTAATATTTCTATCTTATTTTTTTAAGGAATGACATGAGATCATGATCACGATGAAAACATGTTAGAGTTTCTTATAATTATGCTACTCTTTATAGGATATGGTTATCATATGACATCCTTTCCTTAAATGGAAGTAAGCACCTTCACACATATAGCGGCAAGAGACGACGTTAGGATTTCAAGAAATGTCAAACAATTATGAATGGATTATATTTGTTATAATTCTTTTTATTTTGATTTTGAAAAAAATTGATGGTGATAACAAGTGGCCCACTGTGGAGTGCTTTTCATAGCATCTAGGAAACTATATGGTTAATTTAAAATTCACACAAAAAATCATTTTAGTTCAACATTTTATTTTGTTGATTTTCCAGTTCTTGAATAGAGGAGAGAGAATCTTACTAAAAAATAATGAAGGAAAAAGAGAATTATTAATTGAACACATTCTAACAACCAAAATGGATTAATTATATTTGTTATAATTCTTTTTATTTTTAATTAAATTAAGAATCCAAGAAAAAAATATGTTTTTTCCAATTAATTTTAAATTATTTCTTTTCAAACAAAAAAATAAATTTAATTATTATATAATTAAATTAAAAAGATTTGAAGAGCTCCTCAGAGCATCTCCAACGAGAAATGCTTTTTAGAAGAGCTATATTGATAATATGGCTTTCTGAATAGTGTAGATATAGCTTTTTTGTTGATGTGCATTCCAATGGTAAAAAACTATTTAGAAGAGCCAATTATATTTTAATATATTTGATACACAATTATTTTAACATAATCTATTAATATTTATAAAAATAAGGAATTAATATCTTTCTAAAAGCATCTCTAATAAAAAAATATTATATTGAAGAGCCAAATAAAAAAAATAGCTTTTTAAATAGTATAAATATAGATTTTTAATAATTATCTCTAATAATTTTATAGTTTTCATACATGCGAATTAATAATAAGCATTGCCTCCTACTTGTTTTAATATAATAATTTGACCATTTTTTGGAACTAAAATAGAATCGATATACTAGTTTAATTGCATTTTCAAAAAGACAAAATATAATTGACCTCAAATTAAGACATACAATCAAAAATAAATTTTAAATATGTAACTCAATCTTTTTATCAATATCAACTACCATTATTAATTCCTCTCAATTTTATCAAAGATAACAACATAAATATAAATTGTCTTCCTTAATCCATATTAAAAACATCAAAGAATAAAGAAATAAAACTCATCACAAATATTAAATTAACAACAAAAGGTCTAAAAAATCAAGAGATATAAAAAAAATAAAAAAACTTTTAAACAAGCATACCTTTTAATTTCAGCTAATTAACACAACCGATGTTAATAATTAACCGGATTTGAGAGAAGGATGAGGCACAATACAAAAATTTAAAACTACAAATTTTTTCTTCATGTATTATAAAAGATTTTTTTTATATTTTTTAAAAAACAATTATTGGCCAACGGCTATAAAAATAGTCGTTGGCCAACGGCTATTGTTTTAGCCATTTCTACAGTTAAATGTAGAAATGACTGTTAACAAAACAAATAGCCAAAATGGCTATTTGTTTAGCTTACCCGTTGGAACATGAACAGAAACAAATAAATAGGCAAAACAGTTTTAGCTTTCCATATAGCTCGTCCGTTGGAGTTGCTTTCATAAGAGCATCTCCAATCCAAAATGCTATTTTGAAAAGCTAAATTGATAAAATAGCATTTTGAATAGTAGAAATATAGCTTATCTTACCATATCTATTCCAATGGGAAAAAGCCATTTGAAGAGCTATTTATATTGGAGTGAAAAAAATAAGTGTTTTATTATTTTTTAATATTGTTTAATGTTATTTTTTTTCACATGTCTACATTTAATTGGTCTATTTTTTTAATGGTCCCACTTTGTTGGTTTTGGCTCTTTAAAGAGATATGTAGAAATAGCATTTGTGGGAGAGAAAAGACATTTTAGCATTTTGTTTGGCTTCCCCTTGGAGTGTGCAAAACAAACAAAGAAAAGCCAAAATATTAATTTTTTATTTTTGGCTATCCATTTGGCTTCTTCATTGGAGATGCTCTAACAAAAGATCAAATAGCTTAATATGCATCTTTATCTTAACTTTCTAACTTAATATTTGATTTGAGTCAAATTATCATTTATCAAAATATGTAATTCTTAATTTGTCTTATTTAACACGTATATAAACATTTTAGTTTGTAATTAAAAAAATTTTAATGGTAAATACAATATTAACAATGC